TCACATTGGAGGAGCTGTCGAGTCGAGGGTCCACGTCGTCCCCCAGGTGTCTAGTGAGTCGATTCTTGTTTTCCCTTCGCCCCAAGTTTCTAGTGCGTCGAGGCTTGTTCCCCATTCAAGGGCTACTGTCGTGTTTTCTAGCTTATCATATAGTCAGTGGCAGCTTTGGCATAACCGTTTAGGTCACCCCAACTTAAGTAGTTTGCAATTGATGTTTAAGCAACAATACTTGGTAATAAAATAGTTCATTGTCCGTCCCTCTTGCCATGCTCTAGTTGTGTTGAGGCCAAGGCCAAAAGCATATCTTTTCTCTCGAGTAGCACTGTCATAACTGAGCCATTTCATCTTGTTCATGCTGATTTGTGGGCCCCTGCTGCTGTTACATCTTGAAATGGCTATAAGTATTTTTCCCTATTTATTTACCATGTTACTCGTTATTTGATGTGAATACTGATTTTTTAACCATGATTCGCACCCAATTCAACAAGAATGTAAAAATTCTTCGCTCCGATGCACATGCATCATTCTGTTCATTTATTGGCCATTATTGTAGGGTTAAAGCTGAGTAGGGTTAGCAGGTGATCTCGGCACATATATATACGTCTCTTGTATAATCCTGGACAACTAAGCAATCATAAACAGTAGCTCATATAGTCTTCAAGCTCTCCTGTGGATTAGTCCTAAACCATTCAGGGATACGACGTAAATCTGTGTCTTTTCATATTTCAATTTGGTTTTATATTTCTAAAAGAGGTAATGGCCTTCGATCATCCACGGTATATCCATAAGAGCCCGTTCATAGTCTAACTTGCTGATGAAGCGTAGCATATAAAAAAAAATGAGGCTGAATATTTGAAGACCTCCGTGTTTGACCCACATCGTCTTTTTGGAAAGAACCGGGAAAGGGAAGGTGTGTCCCAAGAGTTTCACTATCACCGCAGATCGCTACTTCCTTCGGAAACGTTGCTTCTCCAACGCCGTGAAAGTGATCGTTGGACAGGTCAAACTATCATCCTCAGGTATCTCGTCATCCCGCTCAGCATCCCGCATTGCTTCCGCAACAGCCTCTGAGTCATAATTTGCCATGTACTAGGAGTCTAGTGACAGTATCCTGTTGAACGTTTTCTTATTCGCCCAGGTGTTTGGCAGCGTTGGTTTCATATTCTCCGCTGGCATCAGTTCATTAGAAGTGTCTTCGTCCATCATCGCTTCCTTACCAAACAGCGGCCCGACGCACGACGCCTTCGCCCTCTTACGGAGCTGTTGCATCTCCTTTGTTTGCTCGGTTGTTGGATGATGAGTTTGCCGATGGGGGTCTCATGGACCCCAAAGTCTGGTCGGAGGATTGGCTTTCCGGGAAAGGAGCCCCTGGCGCCGGGGCGAACATACAGCGAACGGTCGGCTAGCCGAGGGAGGACCCGCCTAGCGCTCCAAGAAAAATGGAACCCTTTCGAGAGTTTTCTTTTAAATTATAAACTATTAATTGTATAAAAGTCACAAAATACGCTAGATTTCTCAACATAATTGATTGATAGAGTAATGAAAAATTTGATGCAAATACTACAGATCCACGGGAGACAAAGTAGGAATTTTCTAAATTGTGATCGTCTTACTAGTTTGCAAGGAACTAATATTTATATTGACTTGCTTAATTGATAGTTGGTAATTAATTTTACGGATTAACTTACAACCCAACCATACTCATCTGCTGCCCAACCTGTGGGATGAGATGGGATACTAACCATTTAATAGGTTAGCAGTGTAATAACCCTTCTCATCTCCATTCGTTTATATTTCTGTCAATCTAATGGTAGTTTTGATGATGGTGTATTTTTGGTAAGCATACAGGTGATTAAATCCTTGACAAACGTGTACAATTTTATAGGTGATAAATCTAATAACTGCTCCCCCTTTTAGCCAATTTTCTTTTCTTCATCGTCTCTTTTTCTTTCTAGTCTCTCTCTCTCTCTCTCTCTCTCTCTCTCTCTCTATTCGGCTATGTTCTCTACCCTCTTGTCATCGTAGCCGTCCTTAGCCTCCCTCTATTGCGTCGCCGTCGTCTGCAACATCGCCTTCGTCGCCGTCTTCTGCTTTGATGTTGCATATGCAGCCTTAGCCACCGCTGAACTCATTTGCGTCGTCGTCTGCATCGGCCTCGCCGGCGCCTTTGCCTCTGATGCCCTCACAAGTATCGTCGTCGTTTGCATCCGCCTCCCCTACGTCGTCTGCATCCGCCTTGCCTACGTGTATGGACTACGGGTGAATTGAAGTTCTGTATTGGAGGCATTTAAGTGTGTTTAGAATTTTATATCTGGTACATGTCTCGCCCTACTATTTAGTGAGTTTTAGAGTATTAGTGATTTTCAAAGACTAGTAGTGTTTCAGTAGACTTAGTAATGTTTTTCAGCTCTATTGTATTTATGTTTTGTAAATTTTCCGGTTGGAATATTTACACAGTGTTCTCTAATTTTATTTACAGTTGCTTTGCTTTTCAGATCTACGGTTGTAGTGCTTTTCATTGTTTGGACATTTTTTTGGTAGCGTTCCTCCAATTTCTGTAGGACCTTGTAGTGTTTTTCAGATCTATCATTTGTAATGATTCTGCAAGTAGTAAGGTTTTGTAGGTTGTAGTAGTGTTCTTCATATCTATAATTTTTGTGTTTTAATTTTATTTTTTGGGCATTATTTTGATAGTGTTCTCCAATTTTTGCAAATGCTTGTAGTGTTCTTCACATCTAGCATTAGTATAAATTGTTTTTGTATTGAGCATTAGTAGTGATTATTATGTAGTGATTATGTTGCAAACATCGCCGGCGATATAACATCCCTCCCCACAAACACCCTCTCCGATCACAAATAAAAAAAAAAGAAGAATAAATGTATAAAACCATTTTCTCAGAATTAGAAATACAAACCGTCTATCCAGGATCCCACAAAATTTGGTTGCTATCAACATTAACGGATAACAAAATAAATTCAATACTTAATATTTTTTTCTTCTATACCTAATATACCCTTTTCTTATTTGTAGCCATTAAATATGAAATAGTGGTGGACTACTTAAATATTAGTTAAGATGGTGCTAATCACTATAAAGTTTTTTTTTTTTTCCGAGTAATATCAGAAAGATAGTTAGAACAAACACTACCCAAACGCCCTCCCCACCCTGCTAACAATCCAACCTACAAAATCAAAAGAAGCTAACTCTAGCCGAGACAGCAACAGGGCTTTCCGTGCCACTCTATGGGCAGCCCAGTTGGCAGTCCGCGGAACCGCCCTAAATTCTATACAAAGAGACAGAGACCCAAGGATACTTCTACAATCTCTAAGAATGGTGCCACCCACGGAATCCTCCACAGCACCAAAGCTAAGCTGACGAATGACCACAGCCGCATCTCCCTCAATGATGACACGAGGCAAACTTCTAGAAGCTACAAGAGAGATCGCATCCCTTGCTGCAAGGAGCTCTGCAAGGTACGGGTCAGAAATCCCTGGATGCTGGAAACCTGAGGCAAGCAGCACATGCCCGTCCGAGCCACGAACCACCAGACCAGACGAGCAACCGGAGGCATGAACCGCAGCATCGAAATTGATCTTCAAAACATCTTCAGGAGGGCATTCCCAGGGCTGGCTTGAAGGGGGCAACACGCGAGGTTGAGAAGGCGAGGCAGGGAGACAGGATGAGAGTACTTCTCGGACTTGAAAGGAAAATTGGCGAGCGAGCGAACGGACATGAGGCTGGGTATTTTCGAATACCACTTTATTTCTTGATTTCCATATCCTCCACAAGAGACACACAATCTGGAGAATATGGGTTTGGGACTGCTCCGAAAGCATAACTTGACGCCACCATACACTAAAATTCATCGTTGGGGCCGAAACTAGTATGTCACTTAATCCCACAAAGTACCATAGCATATTGGCAAGGGGGCAATGAAAAAACAAATGTTCTATACTCTCTCGACTCCTCCAGCAAACAGGACATCTCCTTAGGCAATTGACCCCACGAGATCGGAGCGCTACTGTCGTTGGTAAGACTACTCTTAGGCACTGCCAAATGAAAAACCTTAGTTTAGGAGGAGTCTGAATGCCCCATGTCAATTTCCACAAAGGAGGATCAATAATGAGAGCCAGGGCTTTTCTATTGGGAGCTAGAATGCCTTCAAGAGCTAACTTCTCTCCCAACCTTCCTATTGCCTCACTAACAAAAGAATATTATTTATTCAGATTTTTTTAATTCGGATATTTGTAATTTTATTTCTCCTTATCATTTTGTCACTATCCCGAGTTTCCTGCCTTTCCCATGTACAAATCAATCATCTCGCCCCCTGGTCTGGTCAACAAATAGTACTCCGTGCTCAACTGCGAGCAACACTGTAGCAGAAAAAACTGATCAGAAAACGAACGCCGATGCATAAATAGGACATGACAAAAACCCAAGTGAGAGGAATTATTCGAGCTCCGTCGCCCGTCATTGAAATCAGAGGTTGGTAGTCTTGTGTTCATTGTTGTTCTTGCTCCAATTTGCAATCGGTGAAGGCCAAAAGTTCTTCGGGTTCTGACTTGTGAGCTTCACAGTAGTTCTCTGGGTATCTTATTTCTAATCATCGGATCGGAGGCTTGTGAGCTTTTTGAGCTCGCAAATCTTGAATCATGGATCAAAAGCATAATAATTAAGTCAAAGCAAATTCCAATATGCAAGAAGGGAAGAAACCTTCCCAAACTTTGTTATTAGTGCTTTGATTCGAGTATATATACACTTGAGAATCAACTCGATCTATCAGCCTGTACAACATTCACTGTTTCACATCAGTAACCCCTTGGCGATTCGTCGACTCGGCGACTGAGTCGGGGTCAATGCCTCCCTCGAGTCAGCGTCGGATCACTTTGAGCTCGCAACTCAAATTAGTTAGTTATCTTCTCCTGAAGAGCCGGCGACATATAGTTTTTCTTGATCCACGTCCGGCCAGGAACTCCCGGCCTTGCAGCGACGGAATTTTTCACCCCTGGCCCCAGCAGTTGAGGTACATGACTCGTCTCATTGACTCGTCGCTCTGCCTCAAACCCTCATCCACGTCACGGCTTCCTGCGACTCCGGCCCGATCGGATACGACCGCGGCGGAAAGCGGGCGGAGATCGGCTGCATCGGCGGATCCGGAGAAAAATCGCCTCTTTCCGTGGTGGAGTGCCTGTAGGCCTGATTTCCATTTGGTTCCCTGGTCGGCGTGGGAGCCCTGTACGGCGGCTACGGTGGCGGCCATCCAAACTCTGTTCAGGTGATTCATTTTGGCTTTGAGAGATGAAGGAGTAATGGATTTCTCTCTTTTGCTATTGAGTTGGAGTGCTGAAGAATTGAGGAGAGGCCCTGGGAGTATTTATAGAAGGGGGCAGCGGGTTCGGGTAAAACCGGGAGCTGGCAGCTGCTTGTTTGAAAGGCGGTTCATCAGGAGGAGCTTGAGAAGCCGCTGCAGCCTGCAGGGCGCAGCTATCGATGCCGTTTTGGCGTCTTTTGGCCTTTGGGAAGGGCTGGGAAACGGTGCGGTCTGGTCCAGACCAAACCATATATACGGTCTATGGTCCAGACCGAGAGGCTAAAGTATAGACCATAGACCAGACCACAGACTATACGGTCCGGTCCAGACCACGCCTGTGCGGTCTGGTTCGGTCTGGTCTGGTCCAGATAGACCACACTCAACGAAAAATGAATAATTTGTTTAGTCAACCACACAAAAAAATTGAACCAATAACCAAGAAAAATAATTGTTATTTGCCTCAAAACATTAATCATAACATGCATGAATAATTTTGATACTCTAAATCTTAGTACATAACAAAGATACAAAGTAAAAACATCCAAGCTTGCACCATAACGTCATAAACATTAACATAATGTCATATGGAGACACTACTATCTCTACTCTCTTGTTAAATGTGGTTGTGAATGAAGGAGGGAAGAGATTCACAAAATTAAGGTTGAGACTTGGGTGTCGTTGTGGGAGTTTGGAGAGTTGTCGAATGGGCTGTTAACACGTATTGACAAGTCAGTTGGGTCCACGGTTTGATCCGGTAAACCGCGGTCTAGACCAGATCAGACCAAGAGATCAAATCATAAAATAATACAGACCATGGACTAGACCAGACCATACTTCACGGTCTACGGTCCGGACCAAACTGTGCGATACGGTTTGGACCACGGTTTTTCTAACGGTCTGGTCTATTTTCCCAGCCCTAGTTTTGGTCTTTACTTTACTGTGGATGCGTGTCGACTCTCGATCTCGAATGACCGGGGGCCGGGGCTGTTTCTTATCGTCAATTTATCGGGATAAAATACGGGGAGAAAAACGAGCCGAGGGGAGACTCGGGCGAGATTATTGCGATAAGTAGGGAAAAACAGGTGGCGGCCTTATCTACGAGTTTGCTTCGTGACTCATCCCCACCCAACCAATCAGCTGTCGATGCTGGAGCCCATCCTCTCCTTTTCTCAATTTTCTTTTTACGCAATTTGGTGGGTCCCAAACCTGCAATTTTTTTGTTATCTACATTTTATTTTGTTATTTTGTTTGTAAGTGGAAATTGATATGATTGTCCTTTAGCTTACAAAATGACAGGACATGAATGAATTTGGAGTGTAGCAGAGGCAGAGCAGAGGGAGTGGGTCGATTCAGTATTTTACCCTTTTAACAGAGCCCACACTACCCTTCACGTGCAAGAGGGACACTTGTTGAGATGAGGACCACCGAGTAGGGCTGTCCATTTGGTTTTGGTTTTTCGGTTTTAATTGAAACCAAACCAATTGGAAAGCTAATGGTTTCGGTTTTTCGGTTTTAAATCAATAAGCAACTTAATAGTTTTGGTTTGGTTAAAACCAAAAAATCAATAGAAACCATTAAGAAACCAATAAGAATAATATTATTTATCAACAAATATTTTTTTTGTTTCTTTTGAGCCAACCAATAATTTGTAATGGCTATTTATCATTATTATGACATTTATTCAATAAAAAAGGAGGGAAATGGGAATAAATATGAGTGTATGAATACATGTTGGTTTTTTGGTTATCCAAACCAAAACCAAAACCATTAAGGCCCTTATTGGTTTTCGGCAACCGAAAATCAATAAGGGCCTTAATGGTTTTGGTTTTGGTTTTTGAAGATTTGGTTTTTGGTTTTGGTTTTTCATACTTAATGGTTTGGTTAACCAAACCAAACCAAATTGACAGCCCTACCCCCGAGGGTGTCCTGGTACCTCCACGGCTGCGTTCCAATCTATTATTATTCCTTCTACATCAAGGTTGTTAAACTCCTACATGATCCCCAAATGGACTCGGTCCGACTAATTCGAGCTTCAAAACGGCTTTCAGAAAGTCCCCCAGTCTGACCCCTTAAAAGGAAGAGGAGAGGGGGAATAGAGGAAGAGGAATGAAGGAAAGGAGATGGTGGGTGGATTATAGAGGTTAGATAGTTTTCAGTTTAAGGTATGCAAAGCTCAAATATGGACCACAACAATTTGTGTGTAGGGGCGTCAGTCGGTCAGTTTTGCTTTAACTAAAAACTGATTTCTCGGTTATCGGTTAAACCAAGTCGTCCCCTATGACTGCCGACCACCGACCGTGAGTGAAGCTACGGGTAGTCGACCACCGACCGATCGATTTTCGGTTTTGATCGGTTATAACCGCGATTAACCGACCCACCCTACATTTATTAGAAAAGCAAAAGAAAAAAAATAAAAAATAACTCCACCCACGTTTTCTTCTCTCCTCTATTACCTAACAATAAAAAATTAAAAAAAAAAAAAGAAAGAGATGGAAGACCACACGTTTTCTTCTCTTTGCTCTAAGAGCATCTCCATCAATGCAATTGTAAACTCAATTGCATTTGTTATTTTTTTTTTTGCCAACTCAAAAATTTTGCAATCCATCTCATTTTACTTTTATTATACCTACATCAATGCAATTCATTTGCAATTGCATATGTGATTTAATTCCACATATAAAGGTAAAAAAAGGAAAAAAAAATTAAAAGAAGAAGAAAACAATCGGTCCTTCCCATAAAAATAGCCATGTTGGCTTTCACTTCCACTTGCATTATATGCAAGATTGAAAAAGTGCAATTGAGGCCTACAGCAATGCAATTACAGTTGCAAGCATTCCACGTCACTTTGCAATTGCAAAATGTGACCGATGGAGATGCTCTTATCTCTCCTCTCTTTTCCCCCAAGAATAAAAAAAAAATCAAAACTTCTCTCCTCTCTCTGCCATTGCTAGACTGCTACCCCAAATCTCTTCTTCTTCTCTCCTCTCTATACTACCTCATTGAAGAAGGAGGAGGTGCGGCGGAGGTCGGAGGCGAGCTACTTCGGCCAGAAATGGACGAATCGCTGCCGAAGGCGGAGGCGACGATGGTGGTGGCTGGTGGAAGAGCAGAGACGGCGAAGGCTGAGATGACGGAAGTCGAGGTGGGACGAGCGCGGCGGCGAACGAGGAGGAGCAACGGCCAACGATCTGGTCTCGGAAGAGGAGCGTCGCATGGAGATCTGAAAAGGAGAGGCGCGGTGCGGGGAGAGAATGGAAGGGAAGATTTGTTATTTGTGGAATTAGGTTTTTCTATGTGGTTGCGGATTAGAGTTTTTGGGGTGTGGCCAGATAAAATTGGGTTTTGGGGGTGGAGGTCGGTTAGCTACGGTTAGTCGGGTAACCGCAGTTAACAGCCTCCGGTTACTCGGCTAAACGCAACCAATCGCTCCCTCTCCGAATATCGACCATCCATGTTTTCCGTTGGTTTTTTTGGTTAGCCGCTAACCGACTATTTTCGATCAAATCGACTGGTTAGTCACTAATCAGAAACCGAACTGCCACCCCTATTTGTGTGTGTGATGAAGCTCCTAACAAATTAATTCGTGGAAAAGACTTGTATATTTAGATTTCATTGCCTAGTTTGTACAGATGGTTTAGGAAAGTTTGGTGGTCAATGATGGTATAATTACATTTTTCAAGAATGCCCATTTTTATTTTTAATTTAGTAAATCCTGAATCGACTGTGGAGTACCATGATCATTTTAGGTTGATTTTAAGCAGAGTGAGCATAGTTAGAAATTGTCAAATAGATCAGGTACTACGATAGGAAAAGTGATGGTTCAAGAATGCTATTATATATTATGCTTTACTACCGGTTTTTTATTTTAAAAGATATAAAATAATATTTAAAACTTAATTAATTTGATTTTTATGTTTAAAAGTATTATTTAAATTATAACAAATGATATAGAGTTCATTGAAAATAATATGGGGGATGATTATGTAGTTTCAATCATACACCAACTCACCAAGTATAATTTACCTAGATGAATACAATAAAACACAACTATTTCTGTTCAAAATATTATTATTTAAATTTAATTGAATGAGATATGGTTCATTAGAAATTAATATGAATGATTATGCATTTTAAATTATATACATATTAAAAAATGTATAGTGCATAATCATTTTGGTCGGACCATATATATGGTCTACGGTCTTGAGGGAGAGACTGAAGTATAGATGACAGACTATACGGTCTAGACCAAATCACGCAATAGTCTTGTACGATCTGGTCCAAATAGACCACACTGAATGAAAAATGAATAATATGATTAGTCAACCACACAAAAATTGAACCAATAGCCTAGAAAAAATTGTTTTTTTTTGCATTAAAACATAAATTCTAACATGTATGAATAATTTTGACACTATAAATCTCAGTAAATAATAGGGTTAATAGCTTAGTTTGGCCCGAATTATACACATACTTTCTACTTTGGCCCGTGGTATTGGAAATTGCTATTCTGGCCTGAACTATGTAGCAAACTTCCTCATTTGGCCTGGAGGCGGGTTTGACCGTTAAATTAGACGGTCAAACTTGTTGACCGTTAGTCAATGTCCACCTCACCTGCCATGTCAACTTTGAGGACATAAAAAATATTTTTTTTATTTCTGAATTTTGTTTTCTTGTCATTTGCTAAAAATGGACCCTTTTTCGTTCTTTTAATTAATTTTTTTGATTTATTATTTTTATTAATCGAAAGAAAACAAAATTCAGAAATAAAAAAAATATTGAGAGCCCCCACGTACATGGTGTGTGACACACTTCGATGATCAGATAGATCAACACCTAGATTGATGAGCATTCGAGTTATGATGGACCCGAATGGCATTAAGCCTTGATAATGCTCGTCTCCTCCTGGAAGAAGATTTCCAAACATCAGACTGGAGTAGTCCAGCTTTCGCCCAGCAGTGGCACTGGCGATG